CCCACCGACAATGTATTGTGCTGTGCTTTTTAAAAAACAGTTTAAAATAAGGAGCCACCATGATGTAAACAGAAACATGGATTACTGTGCCAGGAAAGCATGCTTTCTGATTGGAAAGCGATGTAAAATAGTTACGCCAGAGGGTCATTTATTTTAGCACGCATATAAAACCCTGATTTCAATTGTTTTTGCATATCTAAACACCTCTGAAACTGCAAATTGCGTCTTTGGGTGTGCAGCAGAGGCAGTGGGAGAGGTGGCAGCAACAATGACAGCTGCAGGGGGATGGGGGAAGCAAAGAGGGACGGAGGGACGCAGGAAGCCTGAAAGGAAGGGGGAAATGTGGCCAGTCCAGTACTTGGTTGGAGGAGTGAAGAGCTGTCTTTGGACAAAAAAAAAATGGATCAGAGGTACAGATCCCCACGCGTCCCCATGATTTTTATGTAGGGTTACCCCAAACAATCTCAGTCATAGCCACTATCTCTGCCCACAGATTGGACAGTAGCTTGGGGGTGATCCCATGTTAAAATCATGTGGATCCATGCTTGGATCAGTGTTTCTGCACCACTGCAAAGCCATGCACCTTTCATTTTTATATGGTGTATTCTGTGGGTACAAATGGGAACAGCTGGAGCATTCTTAAAGGGAGAGAAGCAGTCAAGCTTCCTAAAGGGACAAGCAGCTTTGCCCTCTCTATTCCTCCCTCAACAGACCACAGATGGCATCAGGGGTAAGTGGCCAACGTGAGGGCAGGGTGTGCGGGTGCAGGACAGCCCCCTCAACTGAGACACAACAAAACTTAAAAATGGATTAAAAGTTTTCCCAAGAGGACACACACACCAACCTAAACACCATGTGATTACCGTAAGATTTCTAAACCAATGCCATTTAGAATGGAGTTTATTGCGAGGCAAATGTAAATGTAAACAAGCCCTTAGTCAGTCTGTAACATTTTGCTTTCAGAGATGCAGTGGTGCCCTTCCAATAAATAGAAGGGCAAAGTGGCAAAGAAAGAGGAAGGAAGGAAGCCTTTGAAAGAAAAAGTATAATCTGAATGTGAAGGGCAGAGGGAAACAGATAGGCCCAGACACCACACGTGGGGAGGAGGGAATTCAAATGGTTTGTAACCTGTTAACAAGGCCGATTTCTTCCACAATCTCTGCTAACTCCTGTGTAATTGGCTGAAGCAAATTAGCCCAGGGAAACTCAACTTCCAAAGTACGACTTCACAGTGAAGTCACAATATTTTTCTGCTGTGTTAGTACACTGAGTTTCCATGTTTCAGAGGGGATTTGAACCCAGGTCTCCTGAGTCATAGTCCAACACTGTATTTGATACACCACATTGGCTCTGAGCATTGACACAAAATTTTCATTTAGAAATTGTGAAAAATACACAGAGTGATAAAAAGGACAGAAATTGTGACTCTTGTACAAAATTACAATAGAAAAGGTATCCTGCTTATATATCCTTCTAGTAGGGATGGAAAAACTATCGTCCTTTCCTTTAGGAGTCTTGTCATCTTTGACTCAGGTTGTCAGATATATATCACCTACTAAACAACAAAAAATGCATCTCTCTTCCTCTCCCTCCCTCTCTATACACACAAAGGAGGGCAGTGATTTGCATATCCTAATTTATATGAACGAGTACAAAATCACAGTAATTATAAAATGAGAATCATAATTTAAACAGAATTACATTGCATCTCATTGGAGCGGAGAAAGGGCATGAACATGTGAGCTGTGTATGTGTTGAACCAGAGGTCCAGGTGGTGCTTAGTGGATGAACAGCAGCTTCAAGATTCCTGATCTCCCTCCCTATGGCTCGTTTTCTTTAAATCAGAGCCGGACCAAACAGCTCTGCAACTGGAATACTGTATACCTTGAAAAGGAAGATTGTCTTCTGGCAGCCCTTCAAACAGAGTACAATTTTCTGTTAAAGAAGTCTTCTGGCAATGTTGTCTCGGTGGATGGATGCAGGAGTCCCCAAAACATCTGGAGGGCCATTGCTTTCCATACCTGTGCTTTTCTGTGATGAGTTGCAAAAGATAATGCTCCTAACCCTTGAATGGACAAGAGCATTATCTTTTGCAACTCATCAAAAGAAAGCCCCCTGGTTGTTCTTAAATGAAGGATGAAGGTAGAGGACAGTGCTCCCGTCTTACCCACATTTCTGCTTTTGTGGTTCTCCTACACATGTAGAGAGATGAATTGCAGCAGAGTGTCCATTGCCAATGGGTGCTCTCTGTGGGAGTGAAGGTTCTGGAACATGAGTTTTTCTACTCAGAGGCACATCCCCACAGATAGCAGGAGGCTCTCCTCTTCAGACTCAATGCTCTCCACACATGCAAGGGTGACGAAACTGGAAACAGGAGTGGGTCTGGCTGGCAAGTGCACTCAATTTAACAATGACTCATCAGGGTTTGTGGAGTGGGGCGGTTAGAGTTTAACCGACTGGGGTTCAAAAATCGCTCAGGCACAAAAGGTCACAAGGTGAAATTTAACCAATTGTTTTTACACGGTTGCTGGGAGTATAAATTAAAGAGGGATGGGTATGTATGTTACCCTGGCCCCCATTGAAGAAGAGTGGGGAGAAAAGAAAAGTACTGTACAGAAAATGATGTTTTAATTTATAGGAGATGGATGTGGAAGAGGAAATCAATATAGATAAGGATTAGCTGAAATGCATTTGGGATTCTCCTTGTGGATGTGACTACAGAGACTATTACGATGATTGCCCATACATCAAAATTTGTGGTTCCAGCAATAGGTACAAATTTGGTCACTGACTACACCTCAGAAAAGTTCTTGCACAACTGACTAACACACTATTATAAGCTAAAATATGTAGGGCTTCTTCACAAAGACTAGTTTATAAGACAGAATTCATTCTTAGGAATGGTTGCCTTTGGAGTACTTTTGTTGTTTAGTCGTTAAGTCGTGTCCGACTCTTCATGACCCCATGGGCCAGAGCACGCCAGGCCCTCCTGTCTTCCGCTGCCTCCCGGAGTTTGGTCAAATTCATGTTGGTAGCTTCGGTGACACTGTCCAACCATCTCGTCCTCTGTCGTCCCCTTCTCCTCTTGCCTTCACACTTTCCCAACATTAGGGGCTTTTCCAGGGAGTCTTCTCTTCTCATGAGATGGCCAAAGTATTAGAGTCTCAGCTTCAGGATCTGTCCTTCCAATGAGCACTCATGGTTGATTTGGAGTACTAGTTCAAGGCATTTAAATTGTAATCTACAAAAATCTGTACCACAAGAAATGTGCTCTCCTCTATAGGGTGCTAGAAGACCTTCTACATGTAATGGGCAGAAAGCCAGGTACTGTATATAGCTCTGATAGAGAACATTAGTACCTGCCTCTTTAATTATATTTATTTCTTCCTGTCTTTAAGAGAAAGTGTGAGAGTGGCAGGGGAAAGGCAGTGGTCCAATAGATCCTTTTTTAAAAAATCAATGTTCTTTCTTAAAAGAAAAAAGGACAGAGTGAACCTGCTATTTTTCTGTAATGCTTGCAATAGTTTAAATGCAACTTGTAAAGATCAGCTATTTATGGATGCAGAAGAAGCTTCTGTGCACTCTAACACATCAATGAATCACTTGCAAAATTCTAATCCAGAATTCAGATTTAAAGAAAATAGCTGATTCAATAGATGAGTGCTGCTTTTTAGAAGATATATTTTTGGGGGAAATTTTCTCTTACATTGTCACCATCATTTTATATATAATTATATATAAAACGTAAATCTGAGGGAGAAATTTCATCTTACACATCATAATATAAATATAAAACAACTTGCAAAATGCAGCAGACACCTCTGTTCACAGTTATGCTTCTTAGATTGTACTTCTTACTAAAGATCCAAGTATGCTGCTATTTTAAGAAACCACTTTTTTTAAAACTACACCTATCTGGAATACATCCCCAATAGCAAGAATCTACTCAATATAAAGTAGGACAAGGAATTATTGGGAACCTGTCTCTCTCCTGGTGACACACTCCAGCAAAAGAGTATATTATGTTTGTAAATAGATTCCTTGACTTGAGCAGAACCCACCAGCCTGATAAAAGACTCTGATCCAAGGGACTATGGGACGATTTGGGACAGTACTAAAAAAATCATGCCAGGAGGAAATTGGTGTAAAACAGATTGTTGCCATGCAGCCTATGAAGATCATCATGCTTTTGCTGGATTGCAACTGCACTGTTGGGGTAACTGTTTTGGGGGTGATGGTAAACAAGGCACTGGGCTCCGCATCACAAAAAGGAAAACAGGAAGCTTTGGAGAGTGAGCAGAGAGCCCTCTACAGAGTTGGGGGGCTTAGCAGGTACCCATAAATGCTAAGGAGGAGGAGGCGGCAGCAGCACAGTGGAGGGAACCATCTCTTTGACAAAAGAGAGGGGTGAAGGGAGGGAGGGAAGTGGACTGACATGTATCAACTGAAAATAATATATGCTCCACAAAGAGATGTTTAGGGGGGAAATGCTTCCCTAGTTTTTAAAAATACCATGGTTATTTTTTTTAAAAATGTCCAGTAAGTTAAATTATTAAAAGCCACAGAGAAAAAAATTCTTCTTGGAAGGCAATATCCTTTGAATGTTTTTAAATTACTACTTTCAGTAGAGATGGGGTTATTTCACAATGGAGTACATATCTTCTGTCCCAATAGATCTCTCTTGTTTTGTTTCTCCAAAATCAGCATCCATTTCTTATTTGACCTTGCACCCCCCCACACACACGCACACCACACACATGCACACACACAGGCATCCATGTCTGCACATTGCATATGTTAAATCATATTACTACTATGATACTGTATATTTCAAACTCTGATTTTCAGGGGTTATTTTATGGCACAGCCCTACCAATATGTCCTAGAGTTCACCCTATCAAACTGCAATATCAGTTCCAGGTGTTGTTTGTTGGTCAGGCTTATGGAAATCAATTGGCTCTCCTGTTTTGTAGCTGAAATGATGGGAGTGTGGGGCTTACTGTGGCATATGCTCCAGGAGCCGCTTTCGTCCTTTGAAACTCTCCCTTCGGGCCTTTTGCTGCCAGTTACACAAAAGCCACTTCTTCCAGCCAAAGCAGAGCCACCTGAAAAGAGACAGATAAAACCATGGGTTGGAAAGAAGAGGGTGCTTCCTCACAGCAGGAAGTCTTTCCAAAAAACAACAGCCTGTGAAAGCGAAAGAAGATCCAAACTCTGGTTATTTCCAACAAGGTCTCCAGAAGGGCTACTGGTTGGACTCCCTAAAATTATTCTTATTCTGAAACTAATGCCATAAACCAAAGTAAAAAGATGTGTGTTTATTTTATTTTATTTTTGTCAGATGAGCAAACAAAAAATTCTGAGCAAGTGAAATAGGATCAGGCAGGTAACAATACTGTAAAAACACTGCGTGGCTCAAATCTCTCCATTTATCAGGGATTGTTCCTATCTTAGCTGACTCTGATATTTTGTCTTCTTTATTTTAGCCCTCTGGGTCAAACATTTGTTAATGCAACTGGTTGGAACAGCCACTTTTGTAGTCATTTTCTCTAAAGTCTGTAGAAATCAAATTTCTGAGTGTGTAGAAGACGATGACAGGAAAAGAAATGGCCTTCCTGCTGTTGTTGAAGTCTTAATTCCCACCAACCCTAGTCAGTATGGCTAATGGGGAGGGCTGATGGTCTCTGTAGCCATCAACATCTGGAAGGCTGCATCCCCCCATCTCCAGGAAAAAGAATATATAGGCTACTGCAGAGTTGCACTACTCTTGACAAAATGACATCATGTTCATTATTAGATGAAAATGAGTTTGCAAAAGTAAGCATTAAGAAGATCATGTGACACAACAAAAATAGTTTTCTTTTACCACTTAGTAAAATAGTAACTTTTAAAATGTACTAGAAATTTACTAAAGCACAGATGTTCTCTGCTCCCCCCAGTGTTATTTATTTGACAGAACAAATGAAGTTGGTGTGTAATACAGCTGTTGGCTCAGAACCCCAATGTTCAAAAATTTACCTTATAAATCCATTCCTTCTGAGACTGAAAACTGACAAGAGACTGACTGAAATGCAGTAAGGCGCCCCATATGGACCTCTTTCTCACAAGGGACCATCCTGTTCTTCAAGGCCCTATTGTCAATCTGCTCATCCTTCCTTCTGTCTCCAGTCAGTAGAATCATGCAGGGAGTACAGGATGCTGCTGTATCTCCTCATTCCAGTCACTGCTTGCAAACTGGGAGAATTGCTGACCAGCCAGTAACAGCAAGATAGAAAAATAGTCAGGGGACAGTGAGAGGGAGCCTGGGTGGTTCTTAGCAATACCTGACACTGCCCCTGATGTCCTTGTCTGGTTTTTGTAAATACATCTCAATTTTTTTATTTTTTTTTATTTTTGTCATGACCCCTTTTGTAACAGTCAAGAGTTTTCTGTGGGGTCACTGCAGCCATACAATCCAACATGGCAAGGCACAAAGCACGGCAAAACCACTCGGTCCCGTGTTGAATTCAGGAAGAGCAGCCAGTATTCCTCCAAAGGGCCCATCCACACCACCTCCGCTTTCTCACTCAACTCTTTCTTTCCAGTTTCCTTTTTCCTTCCTTTCCCACTGACCTAGGGAGGGAGGGAAGGAGGGAGAGGAAAGGGAAAATTGGTCACTTTTTCTCGGCTGGCTGGAGCAGACAGAAAGGAGAGCAGCACTGTTTGTTGCCTATCCCTCTTAAATACTAACCAGACTGGCAAAGTCTGATTCTTTGGGTTGTAATCAGAGAGGTGGTGGCAGGGGCAGGGGCAGCCATTGTATCAGACAGTTTGTTCTGGGAAAGCAGGCAGTGCTACTACATACTAATGGAAAAGTCAGACCTGCAAGGATGGCCCCAAATTATTTTTATAAGGAGATGTGCCAAATCTGCAGCCGAAAAACTACCAGTGGTGGGGCGGGGGGGCTCACAGGGAGGTCGCAGGTTACTTGACTATTATAAAAGAGGTTATGACTCAAGAAACATTGAGAAACACTGGTCTAGTACAAGGTTCAATTTTGGCCCCTTAGAGTTGACATGTTGGCTGAAATCCTGTTGCGTAGGAAAGCAAAATGTGTATCTTTCAGAGTCAAATACTCATAAATTAAGAAGTCTCTGTAGACACTTTCTGTTGCTGTGGAGTTGTGCAACTCAGTATGCAACAGGTAATATCTGCAGAGACCAAAATGACCATGGTATTTTTTACAAATATTTGGCAAAGCTCAATTAGGTATTATATTCCACTGAGAACGAGGAAAAGAAGTCTAGATTCAATGCCCCATTTCTCCCTTCCTCAATAACTATGCAGTTACCACACACATACAGACACACTCTTTCACACACAAACACATTACTTGCAAAGGCCTTCAAGTCAATTAATTATGTGGCTTTGCACCTAGTATATTTACATACATTTGCATATTTCAATGCCTTAATAAAAAGTGATTTTTTTGGAAGATCTTTAATTAAGGTGACAGTTTCACTTTATGTGATAACAATAATTTATAGTTAAGCATAGGGAAGAGAAAGCCACTGTCATTATTTTCATGACAGTTCTAATTAACATGGCACACAGACTCTCTCAGATGGAAATGAACTAGGGCTAGTTCAGCTGACATTTCTGGGGTTCTTGCCTCTCAATAAGCAAAGGGCCATTCAGAAAGATTTCTACTTGCTAATTCTGGCTGCCGAGATATAGGCATGCTCTGCTTCTGTATCAAATGACAAACAAACTGGACAAACACTGATCTTAGAAAAGTTGCCTCTTTGGACTGCAGCTCCTAGAATTCTCCAGCCATGCTGGCCATGCTGTCATGCCAGGGTACACATTGCCAAAAAAGGAGAACATGCATCAGAACAGAAGATGACAAAATGGGCTACCAATTTACATACAACTGAATATGTACACAGGTGAAAAACTAAAATTTCTGTCAATAATTCAGAGTTACAATACCTCTGAGCTGACTGGGGAAGATTAGAAATCAGGTGACTGCTCTGCCTACTGAACCTGGGTGTCCAAATCTTAACTCTAGGTGAGATACATCAAGATCTCAGATTTCCCTCTTTATGGTAGCCGTTGAAATTTATTTTTAAATCAGATTTCACAGCCTTTCAAATAAAGGACTCCTAGAGGACTACCCTCTGTCAAAGAAGACCTATGGTCACTTTAAACCACACTATACACTGCCCATGCTGGGTTGGGGATTCTGGAAGTCGTAGTCCAGAAAAAGGAAATGCCCAAGCTTTCTGTAGGATACAGAAAATATTCATATTTCTTTGTTTGAAGAAAGATCAGTTGGGAAGCACAAAAGGAAGCTAACTGCACAACATCAGTACAATTTGGCACAGTTGTAGCAGACAGTCTGATCAGGCTCTGTGATAAAATTGGGGAAAGGGATTTTGAGTTACTTTTTTATAACTAAAACTGTTTTTCCTCAGTTCAGAAATAAGCAACCCTACAAGCACAAAAGGAAGCTAACTGCACAACATTAGTACAATTTGGCACAGTTGTAGCAGTCTGATCATGCTCTGTGATAAAATTGGGGAAAGGGATTCTGAGTTACTTTTTTATAAGTAAAACTGTTTTCCCTCAGTTCAGAAATAAGCAACCCTAAAGATCCTCAGATTTAAAATACATTAGTAAATTGAAAAGACCAATCTTGCTTATCATGAAAGAGAATGATTAGCGCCACCTGCTTTTTTCATTTGTAAAGAATTAAGTTTGCAGGGATGAAATACTGATCCTCAAAAAAATCATTTCAAATAGGAAAAACAGTCACTTTGTTATAACAATGAGTATGCATGCCACAGGCTTGCCAGCAAGAACTTAAAAAATGACACATTATATACATTTATGGTGGAGGGTGATATTTGGAGAGCTGCAATGCAACTAAAGGTCACAGAAACAAACTCAAAAGACAGGTTTTCTTTAAAAAGAACATGTTTGCTTTAAAGAAAGTAATGAATTCATAGTCCTCAAGAAATTGAGACATTTTCGCATCTTCAGGGAATTTTCATGCAATTTTGTAAGACATATTCAAAATATTTCCCCACATCTTAGAAAACTTGATAGCCCTGACAGCTGCTTTGTGGTTGGGTGAGGTGGTTAAAAGATTTAAAAAGGAGTCAGAATCTGGGATTTTCCCCTGCTTGGTGTCTCTTTGAATGGCAGTAAGCACAAGAAAGTAACCTGTAGACCATCTTGACTGCTGACATGGATGTCATCAACATTTAGGCTGCCCTTTTTAATGTGAAGTCCAGCATACTTTTTCCTGCTGGCAACATGGGCATGATATTGTGCACCATTGGGCTATTTCCTGGCATTCTGAATGATGGATACATAATTACAACATCCCACATTCATAAACCATAGGGTCTTTTTTGAATAATCATTTTTTTCCTGATGTGCTTATTTATTCACACATTTCCCTAATGTGTGACCAGTCATTCTCAAAAGGGGACCCTGACACATCTGAAGAGGGCCACAGATTGGAAACAATTCTTCACATATTACTTCGTAAGTTTTGTTATGGGACTTATACAATTTTGATTTGGCTATATTTCTTTCACATTGTATTTGTGGTTGTGGCCAAAAAAGGGGGGGGCTGAGAATGACCACCATAGACTAAAATATGTTTCTATTTTTTCTTTCTTTAGGGGTACACATTTTATAATGGATGGCTTCTGGACCAAGACACTTGCTATCACCTTGCTTGGTCCACAATTTCAGTGTACCCATCTAGTTAAAAACCAACACTACACTTAGCTAATCACATTTTAAGTTGTGCACACAGTACTTTTTTTTGTCTCTGCTTTATTTTCTCCAAATACTTTGTAAACCTCACAATGTGCAAATTCTCAAGAAGAGGTACTTTTCTTCTTACAGTATGTGAATGAGATGCTCTGGCTGTCTCTGTCTGGCCACCTGCCTTGGGCTTTGCACCTCCTGAGGACCTGGCATTGAGGACCTCATTGAGGACCTGGCAACAGGGCAGCCCAAGTGAGACCCCAGGTGGGAGGACGAAGGCAGAGGCTGATGAATAGCACCTGAGAGCTGGAGTGGAGGCTGGATTGGGTTGTCAGGACCC